CTGCCCTGCCCTGCCCTGCCCTGCCCTGCAAGTCCATCTGTCTGTCCAGCGTCCGGACTTCCATCCTCCCCACCACCCCCTTGCTGAGCACCTCAGAGCGGCTGGGTTCACCCAGTCTGCATGACTGGGCTAAAATGGGGCTGTGTGGGTCGTGGCTCGGCACATGGCAAGTAGCCGTTGTCTTCGTGTTTGGTGTGATCCAGGCCTTAGCTTTAAGCCCAGGTCATGCAAATGCAACCATTGTATTCTCTTAACCCAGGTTTAGGGTTCAGCACGTGGTTTAAGCAAGCCTCTTTAGTGCGGATGACGACAACAACTCTGGGCCGAACACTGCGCTTGATGTGGCCAGGTGGGAGGTGGGCTGGTGGAGTTGCTCCTGCCGTTTCCTGGGTCATAAATCCTGACTGCCCTGCCGTGCCCTGCCGTGCCAAGCTTGCCAAGACAAGGACTGGCCTCTGCGCTGTCCAAGCTCACTTGCCCTGAGGTGCTGGGTTCCCAGCTGCGGGTTTGAAGGTCGGTCCTCTCGTGCCTTGGGACGCATTTGTCTTTCCTGGAGCACATCTTCGATGAGGCGTGGCTGAAGAGGAGAGGGGAGCAGCCTGGCATTGGCTCAGAGGCCTAGAAGTCGAGGCGGCTGTTTTTTGAAAGCCACCATGCTTCTCTAAGGGAACAAACCTTACAAGGAACGAACCATTCCTTCTTGGCTTCTTGGAAACCATGCCAGCGCTGCCATCAGCATGAGGAAGGAAGCCTCCAAGTCGTGGCGGCCAGATTAACCATCTCGCCTCCTCTCCAGCCTGGAGGAGCAGCTACGCCTGGCATGACTCGCTCGCCTGGAAGCGCCGGCTCCCTATGTGCCAGGCCTGCCCCCTGCTCCCCCCCGGCCTGCCTCGGGTCTGCCTTACCAGGCCTCGCCCGAGAGCTGTGGCCGTGTCCTGCACGTGGCCCTCTGGAATGCCCCGCTCGGGGGCTTGCAGTTCAGCAGCTACGCCCAGCTCTAGTCAGGCTGGCGCGGGTGCCGCTGCCGTGCTTGCCAGAATTAGCACAGCAGGAACTCCCCAGAAAAGGGGGCTAAAAGTATAACGGAATAAAGAACAAGCGGTCGATAACTCCCGTTCCCTTAGGATATGGGCCAGGAAGGGAGGCTGCAAGGCAGCACCCGGGCATGGAGTCGCACGGGCCGAGCGGCTGAGGCAACACTGGTTCGGTCTGCTGGGCTGAGTCTGGGGTCAGCCACACTCTCTGGACCCGGCCACTGTTGGGATCTGAAGCAGGGGATACCGTGCAAGAGAGAGACCTGAGGAGAGAACGTCCTGAACCTAGTGCCTGGGCTTCTTGGACAGCCCTGCTTTGGGACACGGGCCGGAGGCCCGTCAGAACCAGGAGCCGAGAGGAGGCGTCCAATCCGCCCCAGCCCGGCCCTCCTTCCACAGGAAAGGGCTGGAGGGGTGGGTTTCACGCCAGTCCAAGTAGGCGTTTGACTGGATCGCTGAGAGGAGACCGTGGGATGGAGAAGGGGCGGAGGAGGAATGCAGCGTGCGAATCGCATGAGGGTGGGGGGAGCGTGCAAAAGCCTCGCACGGAGAGGACAGCGGGGAGGGTGGGGACCACCAAGGGCAGCCTGCCGGGTGCCGCTGTCTTCCTGGAGATCTTCGCGGGCTTAAAGCGGGCTGAACAAGTTAATCTGGGGCGCTGTTTATTTCACGTGCCGACTTTCCAGCAAGGGGCAGGAACAACTTTTTTCTTGGGCTCCATTTGTAAATCTCCAACAGTTCAATAAAGCTAAGAAATTATCTTCAAATGTATGCCTGGAAATGAAAGAAATGTGTTTGATAGTGTTTTCATTTTAAAAAGGATTATTTATTTTCAACAGCACAGAAAGCTACCCGTTGCATCCCTGGGCAACAGGCGCGTGCAGAAGATGTGCTTTCTCTCTCTCTGGCATCTGGTGAAACGGCCGGAGAAAACGTGTTTCTCCGATGCAGGGACAGGGAGGGCCCTCGGGGTCTGCCCTCCGACGCTGCCGCGGGTTGGCTGGCCTTACAGTGCGCGTGCGTGCGTGCGGGTCTCCCAGCCCTCCCCTTCAGGAGGGGGCAGGACACCCCTGCTGCTCATCAGCTCTGAAGCAGCCCCTTGGTGGGCGCAGGAGTGTAGCCGGTCAGCCGCTGCCTTCCCTCCCCCTCCCCCT